GCCAAGTTTCATGAATCTGACTTTAACATTTTTTCAAATATTAAAAATTAGCTTTTGGAGTTGTATGGCAAGTACCCGAATCTGTCAAGCAGTTCAACCAAAACTTCAGAAATATATCTGATTTATAATTTGACACACAACTGCCAAGTTTCATAAATCTGACTTTATTATTTTTCCAAATATTTAAAATAAGCTTTAGAAGTTGTATGGCAAGTACCTGAACCTGTCAAGCAATTCCACTAAAACTTCCCAAATATATCTGATCTATAATCGGACACACAACTGCCAAGTTTCATGAATCTGACTTTATTATTTTTCCAAATATTTAAAATTAGCTTTTGGAGTTGTATGGCTTTATTAGTTCTGGAAATATTTAAATTGAACTCTTTGAGCTGTATGGCAGCTAAACGAACCCGTTGTCCAAATTAGTCCAATAACAATAGGGCTCGTCCTTGGCACAAAAGAAAAAACTTGTGAAAGTTTGGTGCCGATTGCATTATTCGTTTTTGAGTAATCGTGCGATCGGAAGGACGGACGGACATGTCTAAATCGACGCAGAATTTTACGCTGAGCCAAAATATATATATATGTCCATACCGCAGATGACTCCTTCAAGTAGTTACAAACTCCATACCAAAGTTAATATACCCTCCACGAAGTACAGGGTATAAAAATTAAGCCAGGAAAATATACACTCCCATATGTAGGTATCATAACTCAGTGTGCCTTTATGTCAAATTGACAATGTTTAACTTTATGTTCAATGTTTAACTGAAATCACTAAAATTTAATGAGTGTAATAAAACAACACTAATTATGATAGTTAGTATTTTTATTTAATAAAAATTTGTTAAATAAAATTTGAAAAGTGTTTGATATTAAAATAATAAAAGAATTTAAATTTGAATTATTAAGGTACAGAATAAAAACCAAGGTGGACGCCGAAGGACATTAATTGGCGCCCGAGTAAGGGAACCTAGGTTGTGATTAAGTGAGTGAGTAGTGTTTTGGTGAAAATTAGAGACTAAACGAAAATTTAATAATAGGTTAGACATATCCGTGAAGTTATTATAGAGTGATCAGTTCAAGTAATTGGTACACAACAATGAAAGCTATTTCTAGATATTTCAAAAACAAATTTTTGTTTATATTGGTTTACACCGACTGAGTTATTTATATAAACATTTTTAATAGTTTAAAATTTGATCATAGTTTGAGAGATATATAAAATAATCAGATGAATAAATTAAATGAAAAGAATGAAATAAAGTTTTGGGTAATTTAGCTTCTGCATTTTTTACACTTTGAATTTCTCGCAAGAGTATTCTGCGTTTAGGGCTTGAAAAGCAATAGAATTGAGTTTTTCTTCTTTTGGGGTAGAAGTTAAGCAGTTTTTTTCAGATCTTTTTAACATATTACGAATTTTTTTTATAATTTTCAATATCGAAATTATAAACTATAATTTGGTCTTGGACGAATGCTTTTTTAAAAAGTTTTAAATATTCAATTCTTTTTTGATAATTTTTTTAATTTAATATATACCTTACTTCTAAGAAATAATTAGGTACATTATTTTTCTCTTTTTAAGATAGATTGCATTGTTAATACCTTTTGCATTTTAATTATTGTACATTGTAAGAGATTAACTTTCTTTATTAGCTGGTTATTTCTAGTAATTTTTTCAACCAAAATATTATTGTTTATTTTTTCAGATAGAGTTTCTAATTAATCATTTTATATGTATTTTTAACTAATTTCTTTCTATTACCGATCTATTGCACACAATAAGTGAGGCTATGTTATGGCATCAAATTTCACATGTCGAGTTTTCAGGGGAAATGCGTTTCTCTATGCTAGAGAAGCCTAAGTAAACTATTTTTAAAGAGATATCTGTCATTCTATCTATCAGTCTGTCTGTGCGAATCAATATTTCTAGTTTGACTGAATCGATTTCCAGTAAAATTTATATCTTAGTTTACTTTGCGATGAGACGTTTTGATCAGTTTTTGAGATATGCCAGGTTTCTGGAATTGAATTTTACTACGAGCCTATTTTACGTTTTTAACTATTTTTAAGAATATAATCAGCAGATTTTCCTGAAATTTTATATATGAGCTCCGTCTGACAAAACTCACCAAACTTTTTGAGAAAATCAGGTGTCAACAAAATGATTTTTACTACGGGCAAAATTCCATTTTTGTCATATACAAAGAAATAACACAAACGAATTTACTTGAAATTTCATATTAAAAATTGGGCTTTTAAAGCAAAGAACCACTAGATTTTTTCCAAAAGTCAATTGGTACACATAGGCCCGCTGTGGTACGAATTGAATTTTTATAGTTATTAAAAAAGTTAACTGGGAAACTTTAACAGGGAAACAAAAACACAAAAAATTTTTTAAAAGAACCTCTACTAAGAACCAATTTCATATTTCTCAAGATACATTAACTGAAATATAGTTTTTATTTTTCATAGAATTTCAAATAAATATTTAAAGGAAATTTCCGTAAACTAATGCAGCACTTAAACAATATGGTCCCTTGTGTGCTGGCCAAATCCGATTTTTTTTTTCTCTTTTTTTTTAAAAAGTAAGTAAAGTTTTAGAAAGTAAGTAACACAAACAAAAACAGGTTTGTTTATTTTTTAGAGCTATTTTATTATTTTATTTCTATGTTTCTATAATTGAAGAAATTATGTATGTACATTCTTACTTCCCAATCAGATACAAGCTTAACTCATTTCAATTATTTTCAATAAACATAAATACTAAATTATTAGTTTACAAAATGTTTACAAAACGTCGAAAATTTAAATCTTTCAAAATTTTGAAAACCATAACTTGCAAGGAGATTGAGGTGGAAAGAATTTCCTCTTAAATATAAAATATTTATTTGTGTTTAGAAGCTTCTAAAATTTTAGATTTCTGCAACTTCTCGTCTCAAAGGAAAATAAAACAAGTAAAAACGTTTCAGTCGATCGATTGAATTATACCCTGCACCTTTCGTTGTTATATAGCAATTACTCGAACCTGTGAATATGTCATACACATGACTGCCAAGTTACATGAATCTGACTTTATTATTTTTCCGACACATCACGAAGTACAGGGTATAAAAAATGGTTTTAAATAAAAGTAATTTTAACATCCATTTATCATTTCAATGTTCAACTAGTAACTGCTTCAAAGTTTCTACTAAAAATGTATTTCTTTACTAAATTTCAGCTTTGTATCTTAAAGGTTGTAGAAATTTTGTAAACTAACACACACGAATAATAATTTTAAAATCAAAAAGCAGATATTTTGAATATACAAAACGTAACAGGCTTTACCTTGCATTATTTACCTATGGGTGTAATACACACAATTGCTGAACTGCAAACTAAAGATCAATAAGATTTGAAGTGCGTGACCTTATTAAATTAACACAAGAAACCGTTTGGAAAAATATTTCGTTCCACAAATGTTAACCCGTATCAAATAACTGATTTAATGATTTAACTGATGATAACACTGATGAATTGATTTAATAGTAAAAAAAGAAGGGCAAGATGATAAAAAGGTTGTAAATAACTTTTGTGAAAGACTCGAGAGAAAAGTCTAACATTTTAAATCAGTATTCTAAAAAAGTTGTATAGAAGGCTTAACGGTAATTAAAGGAGTAAATTATTAGTTGTGGAAAGCAAAGACGGTAAGGTGAATTTTATTGAAAAGATGGATCAGACGCCAAGTAAAGCTAAGTTAAAGCTAAACTATATGCTAACCATTTAAAAAAAATTTTTAACCCAAATGAAATAAGTCCTTAATTATGTAATTCATAAAAACACTAGAACTCTACTTATACAAAAAAAAGCTTATATAAACTCAAGAAATAAAATCATTGAATTGAATAAAGCTCCGGTTTTTGATCTCATTACGACTGAGCTAATATTAATGTTGAGAGAGATATGTATGGGAAAAGTCATGAATGCTGTAGTAAACCTAACAATTTTTCTTATGCTTGGAAAGTATAGCAAAAGTTATTATGATAGAAAAACCAGTGAACAAAATTGCAGGAAGGATGTAGTAATATAGAATGACTTTAAATCTAAATGAAATTAGTGTTAAATAAATGGGAAATAATGCTAAGTGAAAGTAAATCTGTACATGTCAATTTGACAAGTAAAAATTTAATAGACCTACATCAATGAAATTTGAACGGTGGTATTTTGAATAATGTAAACACTAAAACATATGTAGACATATAGACACAACTAATGGTTAGTCTATTTGTTATTAGTTTTTTATTATTTGATTACCAAGATGCGTTTTAAGTTGGTTTTTCAGGTCTGATGACAATTCGTTTCGACAAATTTGACTTGATGATGTTTAACATCTGTATTACAAAAAAAAATTACAACATTTCTGTACTTTTAAAGTTATCCCCAATTTTTTTGTGCTTTTGAGACGGTATAGAAGCATATTTGAAAAAATATTTTTTAATTTAAGATGTTTATTTATTTCGTATTCATAAAACATAAGAATATCAAAAATTGTAAAATCCCCTCGATTGTAAACAAATTCAATGTTAATAATTTATTAGTAGATGATTGTACAATTATCTGTAAATTTACAACCTATGAAGCTCATAGCTTCATAAGTTTTTGAACGTTGCGATTGTAAAGCTAAAATACCTATATTTATGTAAAAGATGATGGAATAACAATAATTATTACTTAAGCACATACTCTTGTTTAGTTTAAGGTATTAAAAATTTATAAATTTTTTTTAAGACACAAAGATTCAAACGAATTTTCACAAAATTACTATTTGCTTATAGCTTCGGTTCCAAAAAGATAGAGATAATACGAGTAAAATGTGTAAATAAAGTAAAGCTAAATGAATGTGAAATGAACTAACGCAGAGAATAATAAAACTTATTTTATTAAAAGACTCTTGAAACTAATATATGTATATGTGAAATAGAAGATATTTAAAGATGTACTATCTTATTAATTACCATTGACGTTCCATTTCCCTCACTTTGGTTATTTGCTTGGTGGTTGTTTGGTAAAGGTGGTGTGGCTGATGAACAAGAATTTAAATTGTTGGATGCTGCTATATGATTTGGTGAACTTTCTGAACAATCCGGATCATTAGCTGAATGTTGGTACATCACAGAATCTCCTTTATGATAAAAAAATTATTAATATCAAAGAGTGACATTTTGGAAAAAATTTACTGTCATATTCTAGAGTATATTGGCCAATTTTAAAAAGATAACGTTGCACGAAATCAAAAATGATATTTTTCAACAACGTTAATAGTTAAGTCAGTCCATATGATTGATGCGCGAAATTAAAAACTTTTAAATCATTTTGATTTCAGTTAACGTGATGATTTCTTACCCATAGCATTTAATCCGTAATGTTGATAAGATCCACTACCCATAGTAGAGCTAATGTTAATACAAGAATTAATTCCATTGAGAGAAGGAGGAATAGAGCCCGTTTGATTAAGTTGACTAAAGCCTTGTTAAAAAATAAATTAAATAAGGTTTTAAAATTACTAGATTTCAAACTAAGAAACTGTTTGTATTAGATTTTTATCAGTTTAAAATGATAGATTAAAAAGTAGATTCTTCATTCACGTGTTGATTAGATCTGTAGTTTTTTTTTATTTTGTTTTCATATATGGAAATAATACAAATATTGTATTGGTTTACGTTTTTAAATAAAATAAAGTTGGGTCAAACCAATGGTTTGTATTGTAGCACTTTTCCCTTCAACAAGTGAAAATTCTGCTTTTAAAAACACTCTATGTATACCTATCACACTATAAAAATTATTTTCATTCATACACAAAACTAGTTCTAGGATTGCATATATTTAGGATGACGCATATATGCATAGTCTTTGAAATAAAGCAAAAATTAATATAAAAAGGGGTTAACATAATGCTCGATTTTAAGGGTCAATTGTGTGAGTTAAGAAAAATAATTATATTTTTTAATTTCATGTAATTTACCGTTAGCCTTTTGAGTTTATAAAAATTTGGAAAAGCTTGCTAAAGAGCTTAGTAAAGATCTATGTACATATTAAATTTCAGCTTTCTATCTTTAAGAATGTAGAAGTTTTGTAAACAGACACACGGACGGACGGACGGACGGACGAACAGACGGACGGACGGACGGACGGACGGACGGACGGACAGAGTGAAACTAATAAGCACTTTTTTCAAAAAAATTTTTGGAAAAGTGCTAAAAACTAAAGATTTAAAAAGCTTTCTATTTCGTTATGGGCATAAAATTTTGTAAGCATTGTGACTTATAAATTAGTATTTTTAAAAATATGTTTTAGAATTAAATCAACTGACATGTGGGTAAAATTTATATACGATCAGATGACCAAAGTTGTGTAAGCTCTGTGCATTTAAAGCATATTATGCACTCAAAATTTAGTTAAATTACTTGCTCGTAGAACTTAAAAATTTTTTAATGAAGTAGAATTCTTGACTTTCAATTGCAGTAATTTTGTAGATCTTATCTATTATTAGTTGTCCGGCAGGTGGGGGTGCGAAATACCCGCAGTAGAAATGCTGGTGGCAAGAGCCCACTAAAATCCAGGACAAATCCAGGAGCGTCTGATCCAGAATTAACGGCTGTCTAGGTCTGCGACTGATCCCTGACGGACGGCAGACATTGGGCGTGCTGCCTTGTACGAGAGATTTATTCGGAAAGGCTGGGAGAAGTAAAGTCCGAAATGAAACAAAATCAATGCAATGAACAAAAAGATTTTATACCCCACGTGGTAATCCACTAAATCTGGAAAATCCACACTCTTCGAAGGGTGGTCTCGCAGTTTCTGGGGGAGACCACTTATTGCATCAAACATCTACTACCGACCCTTCTAAAAGAACACCTCGGGTCATGCGGTTACCACCATATGGTAAAACCAAAGAAAAAGGCGCAAACAGAAAAATATCCATATGGGTGCAGTTAATGAAATAAAAGATCAGAAAACTGAAAACTACCACTTAAATATAAGAATAAGTGAGCTAGAAGCGTTTTGTGAAAAATGAAATCCAGTATCTCAGAGGGGAAAATAATAATCTAAAATTGAAATCAAGCAATCTAAATACAATAAAGGAAATAAATACGGAAAAAGTTACGACAAGAAATCGAAGCTCCAAAGTGTGCTAATTGTTCTGAGGCACATCCTGCGAATTGCAGGGGCTGTATAATCGCAAAGGAATTTCAAAAAAGAGAAAATAACCATACACAACATAAACCAATAAAAATTATACCAAGAAATACTCCCAAAACTTCAAAAACCCCAAAAACAACTACACTGGATAAAAAAGTGCAGGGAATACAATATGCCCAAGTGGCGAGTGGTGAAACATATAGCCATACCAAAAAACGAATTTACCACCTAAAAAAAATTCTGAAAGCAATATAAATATAATGCAAATGATGCAAAATATGATAAAAACTATGATAATGTTTATGTATGTACGCCAAAAAGAATAAAAAATAATAGATGAAGCTAAAATAAGAATTGCGACGTGGAACGCAAATGGCGTTCTCAATAAAAAGTGTATATTAGAAACATTCCTAAGGACCCAAAATATTGATATATGTTTAGTAACGGAGACACATTTAAAACAGCAAACAGATATAAAAATAATAGTTACATAATTTATAAAGCGGCGCATCCTCATAATAAATCGAAAGATGGTTGCGCAATTTGGATAAGGAATAATATGAAACATAATGGAATAAGTAAGTAGAAAGAGACGAAATCCAATTTGTTTCTGTACGAATAGAGTCTTATAGACAAAATTTCTATATTGTTGTACTTTACTGTCCTCCGGGACGTGTTATAAAGAGTGATTAATTCAAAGATCTCCTGAATCTCCTTAAAGAAAGATTCTGGGAGGTGACTATAATCTCAAACATATTGATTGGTGTTCTAGATTGACCTCAACAAGAGGAAGAGAGCTAAAAAAAGTTATTAAAGAGATTGGTTGTCACTACCAATTCACTGGTAGACGAACCTATTGGCCGAATGATAGAAATAAAATATCAGATCTGCTGGACAAGAAAATTTTATAGTCAAGAAAATTCGCCAAATTTCAGAAGATAACAATGATTTGGATTTCGATCATTCTGCACTTATATTAATTTTGAGACAGTTACCAAGAAACAAAATAAGCTCATGTTGATTAATAAATCCGCTGACTGGGCTAGTTTTAAAGAAGAGATAATATAAACTTAAGAATAAGAAACTTAAGAATAATATAAACTTAAGAATATTAAATAATAAACTTAAGAATTAAATTACGAACCCAAGATGATTTGAACTCTGAGGTAGAGAATTTCAATAAAATCATACAAAGCGCTCCCTGGAATAATACATGGACTGGACTTATCCGAGAGAAATACTGAATATGATAAGCGAAAAGAGAAGAGCTAGACGAAGATAGTAAAACTCACCAGATCTGGCAGATAAAACTGCATTTAATCGACTCACTCAGGATCTAAAAAGAAAAATAAGAAGAATCAAAGAAGATTCATTTGATAATTACATTAAAAATTTGTCAGCAGAAGAAGAAAGTAATTATTCCTTATGGAGGGCTACAAAAAATATTAAAACGTCAACCTTACATGCCCCCCCTATTAGGGGTGGGTATTAATGGGTAATAGAAAACAAAGATAAGGCTGAAATATTTGCAGATTATCTTGAACAATTTGTGCAATAATTTTTGTAGACACAGCATAGGATTTTGACAAGGTTTGGCACGAAGGATTAATATACAAGTTAGAACAATATTATCAAAGCAATATGTAGATATTTTCTCTTCTTATTTAACCGGCAGATTATTTAAAGTCAAACAGAAGGGATACTATTCCACATTTAGAGAATAAGAGCAGGTGTGCCTAAGGACTGTATTTTGGGAAAATACTATATCAACTCTTTACAAGAGATGTGCCTCAAACAGAAAACACAATTGTGGCTACATATGCTCACGATACTGAAATTATGGCTGTAGCATCGAATATTGACGACGCCACAAGAAAGTTACAGCAGGCATTAGTTTTGATGCTTGGACCAAGAAATGGAAAATAAAAGTAAATGAAACTAAGTTTGCATAAGTAAATTTTGTAAATAAAGTTCTTGTAAACCCCCAACGTGTTAATTTAAATGGGATAAATATTGCGCAGGAAAATCCGGCAAAATATCTAGAAACGACACTGGGTGTTAAACTAATATTTAGAAAACACGTTAAGAAGAAAAAAACAGAATTAGAATTAATATATAAAGAAATGTATTGTCTCCTAGGTCGCAAGTCAAGGTTGCCGATACAGAATAAGGTCCGGGTCTATAACCAAAATATTAAACCGGTCAAGTTGTATGGTATCCAGTTGTGGGGATGTACCAAACATATAGGGTTTTACGAAATATGGTGGATGCCCCTTGGTATGTGCGAAACGGAGATTTGCACAGAGATCTAAAAGTTCCATATGTAGCTGACGAAATTAACGAAAAGGCGGTGAGACATAGAGCTCATCTGGAGCAACATGTCAGTATAGAGGCCTCTCGGCTCCTTGTTATCCGAGATTCTCCCAGGAGGTTAAAAAGGATTTATCGCAAAATGCGCTACACCAAATCGGGGAGCGTTCAATCGCTTTCAATCTATATCAAAGAAAATTTGATGGTTGGTCTAAGTGGACTGGTATCAGAACATAAGGAGGAGGTTTTGGTGGTAAAACACATAACTAACTATGGAATGCACGGGAATGGCATGTTAGTAGCATTTATGCTTTCCTCCTTCCTTCGATGAAAAAAAAAATCTAGTATAAGAAATTACTTTAGCAATTTTTGTAATAACTTTTTTGTACACAAAAGGTATTATACGGTAGCTGATGTAATGTTGTGTCAGCATTTCACATGTGGGATGTCTTCTTATTAAAGACATCCCACATGTGAAATCGTATTTTTTTGCTTTCAGCAATATTTGAAATAGCTCGTCATTTAATCAAACCGAGTTTCTTCTTACAACGAAAGTTCTGAGATACTATTTAGTCTTTGATTTTTTGTACCTTTGCAAATTTTTGTCTATCTTGTTTATAATTGGACTAGTATAAGTGAATTAAATATTAGTTCTAAGATTTGCACAAAAATACTCAAGTTAAAAATGCTGTAATAAAAAAGCAGTTTTAAAAATCCATGGTTTGCAAAGTAGTTTTATTAATTTTATTTTTTCATACAGCAATCCCTCCTATAACGTAACCTCTTACTATATAATTTCGATATATGTAAATTTTATTTTTCCTACCTATTTTCACTTAATGTAATTTTTACCTCGTTTTACATAATTTTAAAATAATTTAATATGCAATAATCTATTTTTTTTTTCATTTAAATTTCTTTCTTTACCAACAGACAACTTACTAGTTTAGGCAAATATCAAGTACATACGTATACATACATATGTATGTACATACATATTAGTCATATGTATTAGT